AATACAGCTATACATGTACATTTCACTAGAAATGACATCAACGTAAGCGGTGTCAATCATGTGTGCAGCATTTATTTTGTCTTCTTAGATGGTTTTGATATAGCCTGCCCACAATATTACTAAATTGACCACTAGTCTGACTAGGCAGGTATTTTAGAAACCATGAATAATTCCAGACTATGATGTAAACACATTCACAATGAGACTAAGTAAGAAAAGTATTTCTCCTACAATCCTGAGTTATCAATTTTATTCTGGGAGAAAAAAAATCAAATTTATTACTCACATCATCCGGAATAAACAACCGACAACAGGTAACAATTAAACCTACAGAAAAATGATATAAAAATAAATACAGAGAAATGACAGTTATCATGAAAGGATATGTTTCACACAAATACAAGGGTTACCATACAATTCTCATTTTTCAATTCACAATCTTCAATACATGTACCACACACATGACTTTCCTTGTTGAAGAAATATATAAAGTTTGAACATGAACAGTCAGAGAATGTCAGAGATATAGCTGGAAGTTAGAACAAACTCCAACTGAGATCTGTAATGGCAGAAATGCTTGGTTTTGATGAATTTTGATGATAGCCACTATTCAGCAATCTTGAATGAATTGTCCAATGAAGACATTTGCATGGGTGTAACATGATGTATATATAAAGTTTGAACATGACCAGTCAAGGCATGTCAGAGATATGGCTTTGGAACAGTATTTCTTAAAACAAAATGGCCACATGTCGGCCATTTTGAATTCAATCTGAGAAACAAAATTATGTACATCAAGGTCCATAATGTCTGATGTTTGAACAAAATCCACCTATATATGATGGAAAACTGGCTCTCGAATGGCAGAAATGCTTGATTTTGAAATAAATAAGTCATATTTGACCATCTTGACTGGTTACAATGACCTGATCATACATCAATTACATGTGCATATGTGAGACATGACGTATGACATATATATAAAGTTTGAACATGATTGGTCAAAACATGTCAGAGATGGCTCTGAAACAACATTCATTAAAACAAAATGACCACTGGACCATGAAACGAATGGACATGCCAAAGATATGTGATGTACCGTGTATTTGTGAAGTTTGAATTTGACCAGGCATATCTGCTGGACAGATTGAGATGCACACACAGAAGCATACATTGAAGTCAAAACATAAGTCCCCATTTTTGAAAATTTGAAGTGCTGAGAAGATCTCTACCACATACCTAGTATGGTCATCAAAGTGAGCACATGTTCCACTGTGAGTACATCTTCGTCATAAACAGTCAGTAATAATAATACAGCTAAGATGGAAGCAGCAAAAAATGCTATATTCCTAGCAGAAAAAACATAGATACAATAATAATATTCTGTGATTTGACCTCTATTATTACCCTATATATGTATATATTATTATATGTATATATTAACTTTGTCTATTGACCAACCACGTTCTGTCATCCTGCTCGGATACACGGAAGTACAAAAATATAACACATTTTGAAGATTGACGAAGTTGCACGTCATATAAATCGGCATGAAAAAACATAAGGCTCAGAAAATAGAACACTAATTATGAATATATCACCACATTAAATGGGTCAATGCCAAGACAACTCAACAACAGAATATTTCACTATCAATACCTAGAAAACTCACTACAGCCAGGATATTTCACTATCAATGCCTAGAAAACTCACTACAGCCAGGATATTTCACTATCAATGCCTAGACAACTCGCTACAGCCAGGATATTTCACTATCAATACCTAGAAAACTCACTACAGCCAGGATATTTCACTATCAATGCCTATAAAACTCACTACAGCCAGGATATTTCACTATCAATGCCTAGAAAACTCACTACAACCAAGCTATTTCACTATCAATGCCTAGAAAACTCACTACAGCCAGGATATTTCACTATCAATGCCTAGAAAACTCACTACAGCCAGGATATTTCACTATCAATGCTTAGAAAACTCACTACAGCCAGGATATTTCACTATCAATGCCTAGAAAACTCACTACAGCCAAGCTATTTCACTATCAATGCCTAGAAAACTCACTACAGCCAGGATATTTCACTATCAATGCCTAGAAAACTCACTACAGCCAGGATATTTCACTATCAATGCCTAGACAACTCGCTACTGCCAGGATATTTCACTATCAATACCTAGAAAACTCACTACAGCCAGGATATTTCACTATCAATGCCTAGAAAACTCACTACAGCCAAGCTATTTCACTATCAATGCCTAGAAAACTCACTACAGCCAGGATATTTCACTATCAATGCCTAGAAAACTCACTACAGCCAGGATATTTCACTATCAATGCCTAGACAACTCGCTACTGCCAGGATATTTCACTATCAATACCTAGAAAACTCACTACAGCCAGGATATTTCACTATCAATGCCTAGACAACTCGCTACAGCCAGGATATTTCACTATCAATGCTTAGAGAACTCACTACAGCCAGGATATTTCACTATCAATGCCTAGACAACTCGCTACTGCCAGGATATTTCACTATCAATGCCTAGACAACTCACTACAGCCAGAATATTTCACTATCAATGCTTAGACAACTCACTACAGCCATGATATTTCACTATCAATGCCTAGACAACTCACTACCGCCAGGATATTTCACTATCAATGCCTAGACATTTCATTAACACTTACTGGGCAACAACAGCCAACATTTCTGATACAAAGACATCCATATATTTACTGGATGGTTTATATCCTCTTGCCAATCTATAAATAAGAACACAACACATATTAATATTGTTAATGTAAATCTCAACACGTTAACACATCCATTTTTAATTTAAAAAGAAACACAATGTGGCTCCATTTTGTCAGTCATTGTCTATCTTAAAACACACTTCTGTTGCTGTATTTCATTATTTTAAGAAGTGAGATTGGACACCCTAAGTTAATGAAAATGATCCATACCATACCCCCCAATACACTTACCTTGCTTGAAATTCATGGTCAAGTTCATTAAAATGTCTAAGATATAGTCGGCCGTAGTTGGACCTGAAAAACAAGTGACATAACTTTTAGAATTTGTCTGCTTACCTATAGTGAATAGTTTTCAAACTTTGTGGGGAGAAAACAATATTTTGGGTTAAAGTTTTCACACATTGTATATAAAATAGAGTCCATTCAAATGTTTACATGCTCAATTCTTTGGTGCAAAGTACCCAAAATAGAGTTTATATATTTATATTTTAATTTCTTGGTTTGTCATGACATTGAACTTACATTTTCTTCAGTAGAGATTGGTGAGGTCCCTCTAGCTATAAAGAAATGAGGTGAGGACTCCCTAGCTATAGTAGTAATGTGGTAAGGACCACTTAGCTATACAAGTAATATACTAAGGGCTGCGAGCAATGCAAGTAATGAGATGAATTCCTCAAGCTATGCCTAGAACTGCCCAGCTAAGTAAGTAATGATGCAAGGGCTCTGAACAAGGCAGGTAATGTAATGAGAGCCTGTAGCTAAGTAAGTAATGTAGTTATAGTACTCTGGGATATCATCAGACAACCAGAGAGACTAGATAAATGACCAATAAATATGGAAAAATGTAAACTTGATATTTGTACACTGGTTGTTATGATATCTCAAAATTGTTCTCAGGGATGTAAAACAAATTGTTAAAAATTCCCCAAGTCAGTTTTCTGCGTGATAATATTTTTCTATCATATCTAAGTTCATCTATTTTGTGAGATTTGGAGAAAACATGCGATTGTGTTCACCAACATTTAGCTGAACTAAACCTTGACAATGTCACCTATGAAAACTATTCAGTGGTCTGACACCTTGCTATACACAATATGTACTGAAGCCCACTTAGGTATATCCATAATGATGTGTTGGCCTCCTTAGTAATGTCATAATTGTTATCACAACTTGACACATATTTTTGTAAGACATAATGAAACAAATACTGAGAAGAACGCCAACTCCATTGGTATTTCTAACTTACCATCTACGAGCACCCAGAGTGCCAGGTTGTCGTTTAATAAGATCAGCGTAACTGAAGAAAGAATACAGTATTTGCCACAAAAATATGAACGGGGATAACAAGAAATTTGCAATACCAATCCATAATATCCGTCGAGATAGCCTGAAAAACAGAGAAGGATGAGTCCAACTATGAATATATTGTGAGTATTCTAATTTTGGTATCATATTTGGAATATATTTCAATGCCTAAATTTGAGTCCAATTTAGGTTTTTCTTAGGTGCTGATACCTACTGAAGAACGAAATGTTTTATCGTGACTTAACTTTGTTAAACACTTCATCAATGCTCAGTTTAACACCCAAAAAATAATAATTTCCTGTTTTTCAAAAAATAATTTTTGTTCATCAATTCCATTCTACTGCAACATTGATAAATCACTTTCGTGTTGCGTCTAACATAAATGATATTTGAATATTCCTCGTGATTACACCGGAGTAGCATCAATCCCAATTCAAAACTCTGGTGGTAATCACTTGTGTATGCTACCAGTATATATACCAGTAATTACTTAGCTCAGCTGACATAATTAAATATACACTATATACTCAGTTAAATGAACACTAGACACATGATACATTATGTAGTAATGCCATAATACTAATTTATTAACTAATAAAATATTCTATGACTATTAGGAAAAAAAACAAAAGATTCAAAGTACCTTGCCACTGAGGGCTCATGCTGAATTAAAAGTCGGGTAATGATCCACATTGAAATGTACACTTAATTTATTGTTTTATTTAAAGCCAATCATACACTTACATTTTGGCCAGTTCTTGTCGTTTACCACTTCTCTTATAATCTTCTCTCAGATGCCAGTTATTCTCAAAAGGAGACCATGGACCCCCTAAATTTGAGTAAAAACCAATGTTAAATAAAGTTACACATTCATGATGCAAAGTTTATTACAAAAGAGATACTTATCAAAGTTAAAATTAAACAACTTACAAAATAATATCATCTCCAAATTATACTTGTAGCCATTTGTAAGAAAGATTCTGTAAACAAAAACACAAATTCTTATTTTGTGTTGGATACACAGTTATATTTTATGAAATATGCAAAATATATAATGTAAATATATAGACTTGACACCTCTGTTCCAAACACAAACGAAAAAGATTACATCCCAAATAAATTGCATCCTAAAGTTAATTGACCATTAATAGACCAACATTATAAATTCATTTCTTGTGAAATATATTAATAATATTTATTTATATATTTTTCAAAGAAACCATCATGAACATCAGATTTTGCAAATAAATATCAATTTCTATCACATCTGCTAAACAGTTTGGCTTGAACCATTAGACAGTGAGGTTGCTATTTAACGTCAAAGTCATAGCAAGTACAATGCCCTTCCATCATGTGAATTATAATATGCATGTACATTTATGTATACTTACATATCGCCAACAAATGGAAGAAATATTCTGATTGGTAACAACTCTTTATTCACCATGGCAACCATGTAATTTTTAAAACGCAATATTCTATGGTAAATATCTGTGAAAATGAATTTAGTTGCATGTTAATACAAATTTAATCAGATTAACTTGTCCATCAGTTGGGAATCTTGGATATGAATTAATAATAATATGAGGTTATTATGAGGATACCGAAAAGTATACACAAAGACAGTACAGTACTGTCTGAGTGCAAACTTTGCAGTACCCTCATAATAACCTTATTATTATACATCTTTTCCTCACAAGGATACATCATAGTTTAGAACAGATTTAGCGAACTTCATTGTGTGGAGTCTGGTCAAACCCGGGTGGCAGCCATGTTTGTTTTTTATTATTAGAGGACGCTCATGTGTGTAATCGCTCCATATCTGGAATTCCCATTTCCTAATATGGTAGGATGAAAATACCCAGTGCAATAACACAAAATTACCCCTCGCTGTAACTTATGGCATAACGGTAACAGATGTATAATAATAGTTTATACGAGTACTGTAAAAGCCAAAATACAAAATACAGAATGGCTAGTCATATTATTCATCACAGTTTCACACCATATTTTGTATTAAGGCACAGGGTCACATAGAAATCCAGGAATAAACAAGTAAACAAGCCTTAGTTTGATGATGTGAGTGAGTAGTCTAATATTGCCAGTGCCAGTACAGATGATCATGATGATACTGTTTTTTGATTTTATTTATTTTGTTTTAAATGTTCTACGTGTAGAATATCCCTGCTTTTCAAGTAACATTGTCATCTATGGGAGTGAACTTTTATAAGCCTGAGTGACACATGTTTATTTTTTGAAAAAAAATCTGGATGCAGTTAATTTTGATTCACACAGACTTTTACATTTACATTTTTCTCAAATATACAGAATTCTGATAGCAAATCTGATACAATTTTGAAAAAGACCATTTTTGTGAAAGGTCACAAAGCAAAAGGGTTAAACTACAGTCATCAAACTACCCGGGTTAGGGTAGTGTAAATTACTTATGTCAATGGCGCCCTCTTTGGGTGGGATGTGATAAATAAAAGTTTATTAGACAGTTACTGGCATTTTCCATTTTTAAATACAATTTAATGTCTCCAAATGTTGCTCACAAAGTCAGATGGAGGAAACCTGTACCTTACACTGTAAATAACTGCAATATCGTAAATTTACTGCGAAAAATTCACAAAACCTCATGAACATTATCAAATTATGAGATAGATAACAATGCCACTTACCTAACTCTGTTAGTTCAGCTTTGTGTATACACATCTGCTGTTCCTTCTGTACTTGTTGTACTTTCTTTAGTACTTCATGCCAAGTAGTGTTTAGCAACTCTTCCTGTGATATGAATACATCAAGCACTTATAAGGCATATATACTGACTGTGTGAAATCAAACTAGTATTTGATTGTCGTTTTCACCGTGCTTCACACTTTTACTGTTTAAAATGACTGCCATTGCCATTTAATTCTACAATCATGTTATAACTGACAACCACTTAAAAAATATAATTTGAATTATTCATTTAACAATTCAGTCACCTCCAATTAATATTTATTACATTAAGAGAAGAACTACAGTAATGTGTTCATTACGAGAATTCCGTAAAGTATGCACAAATGCAGTATGGTAATTGTATAGGCTGATGTGTATCAGTGATTGATGCAATCCTGTACCGCCTTTTTGCTTAAATTGCGGTATTCTCATAATAACCTTATTATTTTACATCTTTTCTACTTTCAGTCATAATATAGTGAGATACAACAGTCAAAATGCCAGTGAAAAAAGTATTTAATGTATACACCATCGTTTGCGTTCAATGGTGTGATTCCATTTCCATTACTCACTACAGTTTTTTTTCATCCAATGTAAACAATGGAAATGTGACATAAATATGAAGAACATTTTCAAATAAAGAAAATATTTGAATATATCTATAACACTTTTAAACACATACTGTACAAGATTTTATGAACAGATGAATTCTATTGTTTTCCCTGCCAGATATATGCTAATGTAACAAGTCTTACTGTGAAAATATCAAGTGTACTTACCGTGCTTATTTTTAACGCATTCGTGTAGAATGATTTAATTTCCCAAAATTGGAAAAAATGATAAATAACTTTGACAAGCCTGAGTATCCAGAATACTCCAGCAATAATAATACAGATAACGATGATAGGATCCAAACTAGAAAATAAAAAAAAAATTACTTGCATGTAAAATACAGTTTTAGTTTGCTTGGTTGCTTAGTTACCATGTACACAAAGAGTAAGAGGGAGAAGGATTGTTATTGATTCACTTGTGATCAGGAGAAATGAGAAGTTTTATGTTTACCGTATGGTACATTTTACTTTTATATCGACTTGAGTTTTATACTACTACCGTAAATCTGATGATTTTGTTTTGTAGACATCTAGATTACATTTAGCAGTTCGTGAAATATTCTTAATATATTGAAAATTTATACAAGAAAGCAGGACATAATATGGTATGCGTACATGTAGGTACACTGTAAGGCATCTGTGAAAGTCAACAGTTAGGAATATATATTCAGCTTGTGAAAAACAGGAAATGAGATGTTAAGTTGCATGTGTACATTCAATCACACACATATTTTGTGTGTGTTACAGTTATACTGCTAAATATGTGGTTATTGTGTTAGCCGTACATGTTGGGCTGTACAACCATATCTTTAGCAATAGAAAATTAGAAAATACAATGTGCTAACCTGACTAGGTCCAGTCAATCCCCCCCCCAGTCACATGCACAAGTGAATGATTAACTGCCAGTCATAATGCATGTCAGGAATAAACAGAATTTAAAAGGTTAATGGCATGGTTAGAAAAGTTTCACCATGCGCACATAAACCACCATAGATGTAGGATATCTACATTGTTTATATCTGAATAGGTTCAAAGCATATCTGGCTACAGGTCACTTCTAGGATTGTATTAGTGGCTTACCTGCTGGTACACTGGTCTAGTGGTATTATAGCATCACCCAACGTCACTTTCTCCTTTGGGTCATCTTTTGATTCGCCGAACAACACAGCATAGTCAACACATTGAAGGAGAAATGTTGAAAACAGCACAATAAATATAAATTGTCTGCAAAATAAAATGTTTTATTTCTTCAGATTAATTTTATTTCAATAAGGTTACATGTCCTTCCATGAGTTATTACATTCATAGGCAATGTTTTCTAAATTTAGATTAAGTTAGAAGTAAGGTTAGGTTGTAAGCCTACTCATAAGTTATGAGAAAATCAGTAATAAATCACATGACAATGTTCATTGGTTTATTGTGTACAATCATGAAGTTATTGTCCCATGATACATCAAAATAGCTATTGTTCATGTGTTACAGTGATATTTTTTGAGAAACTTTGCCTAATTTTTTTCAAAAATTTTTAGAACAATTTCATAGAACACAATTTAATTTTAAGATATATAGTTTTGTTTATAGTAATACAGCTGGAATATAAACATGTCAGGAATATGATTATGATGATTGTTTAACATTTAAATGATTGACATTTGTATCTGATCATCAAACAAGTATTGAGAGATATTGCTCTGGAACAGCATTAATTAAGACAAAATCAGCCATTTTGAATACATGTATAATGAATATTTAAAATTTGAACATAATCAGTCACAGCAAGTCAGAGATATGGCACTAGAACCATATTTATTAAAACAAAATGGCCACCAGTCGGCCATTTTGAATCTTATCTGACAAACAAAAGAATGTGCATTAAGGTCCTATGATGTCCAACGTATATACCAAGTTTGAACAAAATCCATCTGCAAACAGCCGAGAAATGCTTGATTTTGATGATTTTTAGAACAAAAATGGCCGCCATTCGGCCATTTTGAATCAGATTGTGAAACAAATTGATGTGCATATGTATAATATCATGTTAGATGTATGTGTGAAGTTTGATTGTGATTGATCTAGGCATTTCTAAGATACAGATCTGGACGCACGCACGCACAGAGGTCAAAACATAAGTCTCCGTTTTCAGACTGCGTTCAAGCGGGGACTGAAAAAAAAGTACCCCATCATATAATTTTTTCAGCCTATGTCACCAGCCTAAACTTTAAGATACGGCATAGTATCCCTGCTATAAGAACCTATGGTAAAAGTGTTAGTATACTGCAAAAATGGCAACTATCAACTAAAATAAAATAATCATTTCCTCCAAAATTAGGCTGATTACATATATTTCAATAGGAGACTAATGCTATATTCACATGTTACACTATCATAAATACATGACGTAAAATCAGTGCTTTTACACCGACATAAACTGTCGCACCTTGATCAAACTCTGAAACAAAGTATATATGGCCTAACGTCAGCCATGTTTATCCATTATACAAAACATATATACATAAGAAAGATATGTAACATTGTAAACATAAGGAACACTGACAACACTTATCATATGTTGATGAGAGGGAGTATAATCCACTATTATTTCCCTAATTATTACTGTGATATTCGTTTGTATTATTGATTCAATATTATTCAATTGTGTTTCAGTGCTATCTTATATTGTTATTGTGTTTCAATCGTCTTTATTACATGTTTATCTCGAAGAGAACGAGCACAAAATAACGATAGCAGACGCCATTTCAATGCTATTGTCCTATTAACCAATCATAGCTCATAGCACTATGAACCAAACAGCACCAAGCCTGCTAACATTTGTTACGATGGCTGATCCTACCAAGGCTATAAAAGGCCTGAATACTTGTTCTAGCGCACGAGTACATGTAACCTTCTCCAGTGAGGAGTAATAAAATCAGTTTCTTCGTATCGTTTATTTGTTTCCTTTGATCGACAGTACCTTGTTTTACGCGCCTTGAACTTTACGCTCGTTCGGGTTAAGATACATGTAAGTGTGAAACCCTATTCTCAATTCCCCCCACATCATACACCAATTTACAGTATACATGTATACAGTCATTCCAGTCTGTCATTTGAATATCCAGGCACTAGAATGGGGTCAAGGATATCACATGATAGTCACATGATCAAGATATGTGTCACAAGTTATCAAATGACAGATATTTCAGTTTCTAAAGAAAGAAAATAATACTTGGCAAGAAGTTTGTGAAAAACAAAATTAGACTAAGTGAAAAGTGAATACATATATTTTTGTTCTTCGTTTTAGATTCGAGACAAACTGGCATTTGGAAGGTACTATAAAATCATTAATATCACTATGTTCAGCATCTTCACTAGTCTGAAGTACTTGGATTTTCCAGTGAATCAATGTAACATTATAGTCAACTTCATTCTCATCAGAGAGAATAGAATAATTAAAACTTCATGAATGATAAATGGTTCTTGGTATACTGTAAAAACTTTAAAAAATTTGGACCACTTTTAAATAATTATTTTTTTCAAAACAGTTGAGTTTTAAGAATACAAAATTATGTTTTGAGTTAAAATCAGTGATTACAAAAACATTAGGTGGCACACATGGTGTAATACTTGCTCTCAGAAAGCAACATTTTTTTCAAAACACAATCATTTGTGATATTCATAGCTAAAAGCAGACTATGCATAAGACTTGGAAGACTTATTAAATTTTTTTGTTTAGGTAAAATACATTTAATTTGTTATTATCACGAAAGCTGTTAAAACTCTTTTAGTACAGTTTACCTCTTAAAAAGTGCTAATCACTTCTTTAAAAACACATCAAACCGTGAAATCAACACCAACAGGTCGTACTTCATTGGATTCATTCTTTGCACTTGTCAGTACTCAGAATGTATCGATAGTATTATGCGGTTTTCTGATCGGTTAATAGCATTCCTGACCTATCAGGTCAGAGGACACCATAATAGGTCAATCGCAGTCTGGAAAACATGGCGAAATTTAGCACAATTCAGTGACCAGTGATTCAGTGATTTCAAAGGCCAACAAATTATAAGAAAATCTGCAAACTAGAGTAATTGATAGCATAATTAGATCAAGTTCAAATCCATGAAGACAATTATTTAATTAGTAATTGAAATAGTTCTTTTTTTTTTCTGTTATATTGCTGATGAAAAGACTTACATTTTGTATTTGTTTATAAAACTGAATCAATTGTTTCAAGAATACTGATCATGAATTTAAATACGGAAAGCTATCTAAACTAGAAAAAGAAAAATTTTCATGCATTTTAAATGTTTAATAAGTCAATAAAAACAAATTCTATGCACGGGCCAAGCTTATTTTTCCATGAGATGATTAGTGAACCAAAAATGATTCAGTGGAGTGATACCTAAACACAGTGCTAGGTCATCCATAGACTAATCACGACCAGCTGACTACATCATGTGACACTTTGTTTACAAACATTGATGTCTGGTATTAATACTCAAATGCCACAGGATGTGCATTTCTGTTTTCATTTCCTGATTACAAAGTACGTACAATCAAAATGCAGTGACGTGGAAAATATGAAATACTATATGTGACAATCTGTTTTTCAAAATCATTATGAGTATGCAAATTTTGTTATTGTTATTTTAAAATTGTCAAAAATTTTTGATTTTTTCTTTTCTTTCAATATTGAGAAAAAAAATGTGACATATACCAGTACAATTTTTACTGAAACAATGACCAAAAATATAAAAAAAATAATATATATTACCATAACTCCAATCATAGACCATTGTGTTTCTAAGATCTACATTTTGTATGCTACAATTAAGTTGAAAATTCACTTGTATGAATGAGAACAGCCACATGAATGAAATAGGATCATGGATTTCCGATATGATGGAGAAAATACAAATATTAAATAAAACATAACTATTAAAACCTTGTCCATTGAGAATCTAGATTATATAATAAGTGGAGGGATGCAAACAAACTAATGATGTATAATCTTTACTTTGCATGGCAAAGACTCCTGAAACAATGCAATAATTTATCTACGCATATTGCGCAAACAATACAGGCTAAAATTTACAGTTAAAAATAGCATTTTTACCAAAAACAAAAAAAATATTTACTACAATTAGAAATTATTTATGTCACAAAATGAAAAAATCTGTCAGAGGGACACCCAAGGTGGGCACATGTAAAATACCAAAGCAATTGAGCAGGTCATTTTAAAGAAGAAGTCGAAAATAGCATTTTTTACCCAAAATGACAAAAATATTCACTAAAATTAGAGATTTGATGATATCATCACGAAATAAATCTGAAAGAGGTCCACCCAAGGTACATACATGTATATACAAAGTATCAAAGAAAGTAGACATGACATTTTCACGAAGAAGTCATATGTAAAAATGACGCTGATAGACAATCAGTAATATGAACAGCTCTGCTCTACTAAGTCGACAGCAGAGCTAAAAAATACCAGTAATAGTACAGCAACATATCTAAGCAAAATTCTTTCAGAAAATCCTCTCAAGCATGTTCCTCAATTAATACTACAAGTACTATATATATTTTGTCTATGCTATGAAAGATATAGGGATATCAGATGAATATAAAATCTTTGTATTTTAAATTACCAGTAAATGTTATTAAATTAAAATTTATTTCTTTTAATTTAGATTTAGATAAAAACAAACATAAAGAGGATTACACTATAAATTCTACTTACACAAGTTCAAAGACTTCAGACAACATCATACATGAGAAGCCATGCTTCTGGTGATAGTGGTATACCCTGGCAAAAAACTCATCCAAGTTTTCAATGTGGTTCCAGCGTGCTAGAAAACAAATTAACACATCACATACAATGTGAACATAACTGTCATTGATAGTATAGCTGAGGTTTCAAAACTAACTACCGGTACACTGTTACTATAACCGAACACTGTTGGATACAATACTGCAATACATACTTTAAAGCGAACCTAAATGCGGCCTTAATTTATAGTTGTGTATATTCTAAACTGTATTCGAAATAATATTGCAGTGGTTTAATTTTGTTTTAATTATAACTGTAGCTTGGATAGGCATTTGAAGTGCTTGCCATGGAGGTCTTTCATGGAGGGGAATAATTAACGAACGAACATATTTAACATCCGGGTACTTTTCAAAGCTATGACGTTTTAGTATCTGATCGCATTCGTATACGCCATTGTACATAGCCGTTCATGCTGCCAAGCATCGTGTACTATTAGTATAAACTCAACTTTTATATGCACAATGTGCTTTTTAAAAC